ATGCTAGTTAAGCGCCACTCAAAGGGACAAACCCCCATCTCAAAAATTAAACGTAATAATAGAGCTTACACTAATAAGGCTGAGATTGCCGATCAATTTAATAAGGATTTTGTCAATGTGGGTCAAAACCTGGCCAAAAGAATTGAAAATTGTGATGGAAGTCCGACCCAATTCATAAGATCGACTCCAGTAGCTAGCTTTGTTTTGTCCTGTGTTACTGAAACCCAAGTATGTTCACTACTTAAAGGTTTAAATGATCATAAGTCATCCCTAGATATTCCTAATAAATTAATTAAAATAGCTGCCCAGCCATTGTCAGTACCTTTAACATATATCTATAACCAGTCTATTGAAACTGGAATTGTTCCTGATATTTTAAAAGTCTCACAAGTTTCCCCAGCGTATAAGGGTGGTGATGCTACAGACCCTAGCAACTATCGGCCCATAGCAACTCTCTCACCTTTTAGTAAAGTGCTCGAGCGTCTAGTCTATAATCAGTTATATTCAATCATAGATAAACATCAAATCTTGTACAAATATCAGTTTGGATTTAGGAAAGGATATTCCACTGAACAAGTTATTCTTGAAATTACTGACAATCTGAAGCTAGCTACTGATAAAGGTCAAATAACATGTGGTTTATTTCTCGACCTATCAAAGGCATTTGACACAGTAAACCATGAAATACTGCTCTCTAAACTATATCTGTATGGAATTCGGGGTACAACACATAATTGGTTTGGAAGTTATTTGCACAATCGAGGACAATATGTTAAAATTGACTCTACTAAATCTAGCTATGAAAATATTACCTGCGGTATACCCCAAGGCTCGACTCTAGGTCCTCTTTTATTTTTGCTCATGTGAACGACTTACCAAACTGTGTCGACAAACTTTCGGTGCGGAGCTTTGCCGATGACACCAATTTATTTTACTCTAGCGACAACTTAAAACAGCTTGAATCCGTAATGAATCAAGAGCTGAAACAAATTTATAACTACTGTGCTCTAAATAAGTTATCTATTAACACTGCAAAGACCAATTAATGTTAGTCTCATCATCTAGGTGCCACCCAAAGATAAATATCACTGGTATTGAACAGAAAGATTACATAAAGTACTTGGGAGTTTATATAGATAAACATCTCAATTGGCAACCACAGATACAACATGTAAATAATAGATTAGCTAAAAATTTAGGAATCCTTTCAAAACTAAGATATTACATAGATCTGAATATACTGAAACAAATTTTTTACGCTTTGATATATCCCTATTTGAGTTACGGTATTCTTGCTTGGGGCTGTGCCAGCAAAACCAGATTAGATTGTCTTCGTATTAAACATAATAAATGTCTCCGCACCATCTTCTTTGTACATCCTAGAGAGAGTGCTGCTCCCTATTTCAAACTCCTAACAATCCTTAAATTAGATAATATATATAAATTAAAAATATGTTGCTTTATACATAGAATGAAAAATGAGACCGATAGCATTCCAGATATTTTCCTTGATGTCCTGACTCCAGCATCGCGTATACACAATCATAATACAAGATTTGTCAGTAATCTGAACTATTTTAGGCCAAGAGTATCCATCAACTTAGGTAGGACGTCCTTTAAATTCTCCGCTCCAAAAATCTGGGAGACTGTACCGCCTGGTCTCAAGTGTCTGCCATATCATAAGTTTAAAAAAGAATGGAAGTCCTGTCTTCTAACCAACCAAATCTGACCTGAGTATATGTTCTATCACTGATATTATTTGAGATTTTATTCCACTCTTTACTGCTGCCAATTATTTCAATATGACGGTGTCCAACAAGAAAGCTCTTGCTACCTTGGACACCGTACACAAATGAACGTAATATCTTTTAGTTAATTTTTATTTGTAGCTACTTTATTTTCCTACTATGTACACTTATGTAAATATCTTGTATAGTGTGAATAAAGAATTGAATTGAATTGAATTTCGTATCTTTATGATTTTTGCATTTACTTGGCATAAGATAATACACTAATAATTCTAGTACTCCGACCAAATGGCCTCTGAGGCCCGAACCCAAACATAGTGCGCTTGCGCTGCCTGTGGATTCATGGAGAAATTTTTGAGATTTAAAACCCGAAAATGAAGGAGGCAATTTGTTTTCTTCCGACGCTGCCATCGATGGGTCAGTGGAGGCACAGTTGTTGTGATGTGGGAAACTGCCAGCATTAATTAGATAATATTTGCTTTTGCTCAGCGCTGGGGTTTTCATTATTTCATTTGGCCTATTGCAAGAGTCATCTTAGCTCTTCTTCGTCGGCTTCATCGTAGTCGTTAAGGAAATTATACCTCTGTGGCCTGTGACATTGGCGATATACAATCTTTGCTTTCTTCAGCTTCCTGACAGTTGTTTTTCTTGCACAATGATTCGTTAACTTTTTTCTCACTTTCCTTAAGGCTAGTACCAGCTACGGATACTTTCATTATGTTAGTTATGGTATTTTCGCCCATTGGTTTCGTTCGGACCAGATGTTTAAATTCTCGGTTTCGTTTGCTACTGAGGTAGAAAAAAACAGACCATCGCATGGATGTTTTAATAATAGAGGTTTAATAGAGGTTTTCGCTCCACAAAAGACTCAAAAAGAGCAATCGGACACCTTTCTCCTCCAACAGATAACTTACGTGACTTGAATCCTTGTTTTTATCATGCTTGTCCTTTTTTTGACTTTAGCGTAGTGTGTTATAAGTAGCTTGACGTTTTTTGGTTTCTCTGGCTCATTTTCCTCGATTTTTTTGACGGTATTTATCTCTTAGCACCACATTTTCAAGCCAGAAAGGCGTACTTTTTACTGTGTGTTCGGATTTTTCGAATATATTTTTAACTTTTCTATTGTTGTTTTGCGTACAAATTAAATCCCGTCGTCGTCTGCTGAAAACCATGGCTATTTTTGAAAATTTTGTTGTTAAAACAGCTCTAATCTGATTGGTTCTTGGTGGTTTCTTTTGTGTTTTCAGCCAATAAGAAACCATTTGTAATTTGCACTCGTGTTACAAGTTTTGCACTCGTGTTATAGAAGAACTCTACTCCTTTCTCAGCCAATCAGAATTGAGTAATTTTTTCGTGTATATTATCATGCGTCTAAAAAAATGACGGTAACTTAAATGCTGCAAGACAAATTTTCATAGAAATCCGCTGTAAACTCCACGAGCTTAACTTAACATCCTAGTTTCAAAATAACTTAAAAGCCACTAGGACAGGGTGTTTCCCTCCCGTATTTCAAGACATCAGTAGCGGCGTTTTTCGTGAGCGGACGTATGTACTTGCTGGTTTGAAAAACTTTTTTCTTGCCTTTTTATTATCTTATTTCAGAACAATGAAAATCAATGATACTAAGGATGCAGACAAAAAGAAACATGATTCAGGACAAAAGCACGCCTAAAGCAAACCTTGACCAGTAACAGCTGTCCTTCTGTAAACTTTTCCACTTCATAGTTACAAGCTTGTTGGCAAGTTTTCTTCATGCCACTAAATCGAGTATTGTCCATACTTTAATCCTCCCAAGAAAAGAAAAATTATCACGTATTCGGGGAGGCGCGCTCAGCATAAAATTTTTTTCTTCTCGTCGACTCCTTGTTGCCTAGTTCGTTGCCGTGGTGACGGACCGCTCTGGCTTACATGGAAAAAAAGCGCAGTTATCCTTGCACTTATCCCTTGACCACAGTCTGGTCATCGAAAGCCAATGTCATATACTCATAGTTTAGATATAGTAATAGAGTAAATTTAAATATAACAATATTTCAGGGTATTTTTTAATGCCAATGTATTTTTTGGCAAGACGAAAAATTAGTGATCAAAAGAGGATTTCCTTTTCATCTTTGTCAGTTGATACATCTATATCTCGTCATACGTGTCAAGTCAAGTAAATGGGGTAGACGTTTGAGGCAAATAAAATAGTAGTAACAGCACAGAATAAAATAGCGGAAACAAGAGTTGTAGAAAGCTTCATGATAACCAATGCAGGTGATGGAAATAAAAGCAACCACTTTTTGCAAATCAGCATTTAAAATTCATAATTTTACTTACCTCCTCTTAGGTAATTTGCAAGCTCCCTGAATTGAGTAAATGATGTGTAATGAAAGGCATGGCTATTATCGGTAGCTAGCTGTCGTAGTACATTCATATCCACGCCGTTTGTGACGCCAATAGAAAAAATCTCGATCTTTCCATCTTTGAGAGTTTTAGCGATGTTATACGGATTACCTCCTTTATTCCACATCCCATCTGTGAGAAGGAACACAGCCGTTTTGGCTTGCTGTGTAGGTCGCTTATTGGCGCTCAACCGCCCAAATATAATGTCGTAGGCGTACTGAAAAGCGTCATGCATGTTGGTAAGTCCTGAACGAAACTTTAGAGCCTGAAAACTCTTTTTAAAGTTGCATTTATGATTTTGAGAGTTTACATTGCTAATATAATTGATGTCAATGGTAGCCTTAGTGCCAAATAAAATAACGGAAACACGTGTTGCAGGTACACTGATTCGAATATAGCTCAACAAGGAGTTAACAAACACTTTTTCATCATCGAAGCCGATTTTTGATGTTCTACTTGCAGAGTCGTAGTACCATAGACTTCCTGAGGTGTCGAGCAGGAAAATTAAATCTGACATGGTGTCGTTGTGGGTTCTCTGGAAATTTTCCAACTCTAGTTGCCCGTCAAGCCCGGTTGCGTTGGAGAATAGAACAGCCTGAATGATTGCCAAGGCAAAGATAACTCCCAGGGAGCTGAGCATTTTGATGCTTTCGAATCACTACAAGACAGTTAAACCGACTGATATTTTACTGACTACGGCTATTAACCTTGAACTGACAGAACAGATGGATTATTCTCACGCTTTTAACAGGTGCGTCAACTCACGAAATTCTCCGCGAGACTTTGGTAAACTCGGCTCGTTAATGTAACGCCTGTTCAACAAACAATGAATGCGCACAACGTAATTATTTGTACAAAGAAAGACTGGTTTATGGCTCTTTGGGTCGCGATTTTTAGAAAAATAAATAAAAATATATACCTAAGATTATTATAATAATGGTTTCGAACATTTTAGTACACCTTCCTCATGTAAAATGTATCACGAATCACATGTAAAAAGCTGTTTATAATATAATTTGTTTAATGTTAAATCCTACTTGTTTACTCCCTTGTAACTCTGTCAATACCTCAGCTCGGCCTTTTTGATTGCAAGGTTTAATAAGAAGAAAAATGAGCTCAATTGTCAACTGTTTAGTGCTGTTTAACTTTCTGTTTCGTTTTACATGACAGTAATAAATCGCTTTTACGGGTAAAAATAGTCTATATTGTACCCTTTTGGTTATCATAAAGCAAAATTTCCTATCACAACCGTAAAGCGAAACTAATTTAAATTATGATCCTAACGTAAGGAATCATAGGGCGTCAAAAGAAAATGACTTCAGTCTAAAGGAAACAAAGTTTAAGGCTCCTAGGTGTTTTAATTTCAGTTCAAAGAATCCAAATTGCCATTTACATAAGTATAGCTACGGTGAGCCCTCTCTAAAATGCGGAAAATTTGGATCAGGCAACCTGTAGAGCTTTTTAGACTCCAAAGAAAATTTTCCGACAAATGGTAAGCCTGGCAATAGAAATCTATACGGGTCATGCGGAAAATTTCGATCGTTTCGGGGAAAGAGGGAAAAAAGTAAAAACTTTCTTCGAAGAGATTAACAGTTCTGTTTGAAACCTCACAGGAATTACAGGATTTTCCATAGTGAGATTTCAACGGCCGGTGTACTATCACAATACCAAAACAGGCGGTTATTCAGTAATCCTACCGTTTAGTATTCGGGGGCCCGTATCTCGAAAGTCCCGATAATTTTTCGGCCCCGAAAAACTGTTTTATGATGAAAGTTTCAAAAATTTTGAAAATGATACGATGAAAATATCAGTTAGAAAAGCAAAATTAAACGGTTTGTGAGCTAGGAACTGTGCTAAGATTCAACAGGTTTTGATTTCAAAATTTGCCTTCGGACCCGAAAAGTTGTCTGGCCTTTCGAGAAACGGGCACCGGTAACCTTATTCTTAAATTTACATTAATTCTTATTAAGAAATAGGACTAGCCTGCTTTCTGGCGTGGGTTTGCAAAGCAAGTCGATCAGTTACAGCCGCGCGAAAGCTGAACCGAGGTCGAAACAGAAAACGATGCGGGAGGGGGAGAGGGTAACCTGATTATGAGACGTGCGAGGTCGTTCGCGGCCCCTTCGCTTCTCTCTCTCTCTCTCTCTTGATCAAGTTGTCCTTTTATAATTATTAGCTTACATCTTGTATGCATGTATCAGTGTATTAGTA